TGATAAGTCATTACAAACATGGCGGCAATGGATGTAAACACATAGCATGTTGCTACCACGACACTAGCGCTCAGTGAGTTTACTATTTTATACTACTTCTGTGATATTACTACTACTTCTATTTCCCGTTGTCTTCTTTGTTGTTGTCTTTTTCGCCAGTAGAAACAGCCGGTTGTTGATCACGTGACTCCTGTGATGTGAAAAAAGTGTTTCCATTGTAGTTTTGCGAAAAACACCAATTTCGATACAACCGAAAAACCACCTCATCCTAGCGCAAAAACATTTTGTCGAAAAATGTAATTTTTTTTCTAAATTAATGTGTTTCCATTGAGCAAATTTATTTTCAAAATTCTAATTTGCGCATTTTCATGGTCAGTGGAAATGCACCTACTCACACCTAGGACAATTTAGAGTTACCAATCTCTAACAGTCATGTTTTTGGTCTGTGGGAGGAAGAGAACCCACACACATGAATGGAAAGGTCCAGAAAGGTCCCCGGGCTGGGATTTAATCTGGCAACCTTCTTGCCAAGAGGCCTCAGCACTACGAACTGAGCCACCATGCCGCCTAATGTTCCTAAATAATATAAAAAACAAATAACTGGCGTACTGGCAGACACTTGTGCACAAATGTACATATCCAACTAATAATAAATCATCAATGAATAAAATATTTTAGAGCTGCAGCTCTATAAACAAATACTCAAACTGTATACAGACTCCCTGACATAATCTACTAAAAACATTTACTTACGTAATTATTCATCAAAAGTACTCTGTGCTGCAACTTTAATAATGAACGCTGATTGTTCAACCTGCCTTCGAGTGTGTGGAGCAGCTTCCCAGTGGCAATGTCAAAGATGTTGATGATTCCATCAATAGCTCCGCTGGCCAAATACTTCCCATCAGGACTCTGATGAGCAAAACATCAAATCAAGTTACTACAAGCTGGAGGAAATACTGTAAATATATTTTTCAACACATAAACAGAGTTAAACACAAATGAGCCAAAACACAAATCAAAATCCAAGTATAACAAGATAGAACTAGATGCCAGTAGTCGCCATTCTGTAATGACTACTGTATTTATTCATATATAATACAATCTCATGTATAATACGACCCCCCCCGCCCATTTTTTTCTTAAAAAGCATAAAAAATGTAATTCTCAAACTACCTCTAAATTCACATGGACTTCAGGATTTTTCAGCCTTTGCAGTCTTTATAATATATATATA